AGGGATTAAAAGTTGGCAGGTATGCACATCGTAAAAGAAAAGATAATTTAAATTCATATTTTCTTCTTCTTTTGTATTATTTACCGAGTGAGTTCGTAGTTTTTTCATGGATATTTTGACTATTTTTTTTATTTTATTTATAATTTTTGAAAAGTGATATTGGTTCAAACCATCTAGAATTTTGGATGACCGTGTTTTGGATTTGTGGGGTTTTATTGTAGCAATTCAGATTCTTTTTAAAATAATAAATTAATTTTACAGCATGTGATTGTGGAGAGAATTCTATTAGTTGCAAATTCATTGAAGAAAAGAAGATTTGCTTCTGCAAAGAAGGATATGTTCAGGGAATCGATGGAATTTGCATTGGTATTTAAAGAAATCCTTAATATTTCTTAATTTTTTTTTTATAGTTTCTTATTTTTTTCCGTAAATTCTGAGAAATAAAATTTTAATGTATAACGCATTTTAAAAATATTGAAATTTTGTGATCACATGCAAGGAAATCATAATTCTTGACAGTGAACTCTTATTTTATCTCTGCATTACATGGTTTTGTCTTGTGAGTGTGGTTCATTTTTTTTTAATTACAGAAAAACACTCGAGTGCAAAAGTGCTACTAAATATAAAACTCGAGAACAGTTTTTTTTGTGTGCTGTCCTATGAAATTTTTTTAAATAGATATAGAAACTTTTGTATTGTTGATTTCAAATCTGCACTCAGTTCCTCTCTCCCAGTTAAAAATTTTTTTTTAAACATGACATTTTTAGTCAATTACTTGTTGAAATATATAAGTTTAAAAACGTTATATATCTAAGTAGCATACATGATGCAGTAAACTTATAGAGTGTTAGGGCCCGTTATCATCAGGACTGATATTGCAAAAGAACCCATGCTCAAAAATGTCATCTTACACTGCTAGTGGCGCTTTCCTATCAGTAAATGTTTCTTCGTGTGCTTCTGAATAGGTACATCAACTAATTTACAGGTACAGTTCAAGAAACTTCTACATTTCGGCAAACCATGGACTAAAATGTCATTTAAAAAAATCTGTAGCTTTAGGAGCAAAACTAGTTTCAGACTTGAAATCTCCACTACCAAATTAGGCAAGATCTAATATTTGCATAAATACAAAGTTTTTATGCATAATTTTTAAAAACATTATATTTGCAAATTTTTGCTCTTGTATGTTAGATAAAGCATTTTTACATTAATAAGCTGTGTCTAACTGTGTTGAGGGCTGAGCAAAATCTTTTTTGAAACTACTAAAATCCCACACATGTTTGAGGTTATGACACAATCCATTTAGTCAGCTATTCTTTTAGACAATCAAGTTAGGCAGAGCAACCATTTTGAATTCTAAAAGCAGCAGCAGCAAGAAAAAACGGAAGTAAAGGAGGTAGAAAATGAAACATTAAACACAAATTGCCCGAATTAAGCAAGATTAAATATAGTATTCGCACAAATGCAACAAAAAATGTGTTACCCTCCTGTGCATTCTTTAAAAGAAATGTAAGGAATCTGCAACGTTGTAGTCCACGATCACGGAAAGAACTTAGAGGGGTGGTTGAGGACGTTGAAACAATATTTTATTTTTTCGAGAAGAAGTGTAGGATTGAAAGTGACTTGTAATACAAATGTCAGGAGAGATACAATAAATTTTAAAAATGAACATTAAATGTTCAAGCCTGATAGTGCACCGCTCCCATATGACCTGGCGTTCTGGAATTACTTTGTTTGCAATTTTGCATTGTGATGGATAGGGCGAAGAGGACCATTCTGATTTCCCTCCCGTTCGCCAGATTTATCCAACTTTTTATGAGGGCATCATTTACGAGACTCCCGTTAACTCAGAGGAGCACTTTGTTTCACAAAAACCCGTTGCGATTACAAACGTGCGCAAAATGCCAACCATTCCATCAATCCCTTTTACAACGCTACCAAACGTGTAGTGGTAGTCACAATTTTGAACACTTATTACTATTAATGTATCACGGATAAGAAGCACTTGGAATTGATTTTGTAAGCAAACTCATTTTTTCTTCCATGTCATATTTTTACGTTTAGAACCTTTCTGCACAAAAAACGCACGGTTTAATATGCTCGACCACCCCTTCAAGTCTCATGATCACAAAATCCCTCTGTATACGCATAAAATTCGTTGAGCGCAGAAAAAGCTACTACATAGAATAAAATAATGATTAATGTTGATATCAGAATCAAGAATATTGATTTTATAATGATTGAAAAAATATCTGCAACGCAAATTCTGTAAGCTGCAGAAATTCAGCGCACTCAGATTTCATCGCAAATTTGCAGTAAAACTAAAAAATATTTGAATAATATTTCTCCTAATTATTCATTAAACTTTGAAATTTTTAATACCGAATAAATTTTCAGTTGTTAAGTTTACACAACTTTATTTATTTCGTGAAAACTACTTTGTAATTTTTCATTTTACTTAAAACAAAATCCATGAAATATTTTAGTCTTTTTATTTTATAGGAATCTTCACTTAGAATTTTACTTTTGGTAATTAACTGCCTACTACAGCATTAAAATGTCATTTTAAGAAATTTTAGGAAAATCATATTTCTTAATAATTCTCATATTTTATTGGAGTTAAGCACCCAAGATACTCTAAAATAATTATTTTTATACTTTTATAGAGACTTGCAATGAAACGCAAACATGCAAAAATGGAGGGTCTTGCCTGCAACATTTTTGTGTCTGCTTACCTGGGACGTCTGGACCTTTTTGTGAAAGCATTTACGATTGTTTGCACACTGATATGTGTAGAAAGAATGATCATACAGACTGTTCTTATGATGTGGATAGACAAAAGGCCTACTGCAGATGCAGTATAACGGAGTATAGATTTGATGCAGCTACCAAAACATGTCGAAGTGAGTCATGCGCTGCGTACTGTGTAGTTGAAACCCCATTAGTTGATATTTAATAATTTGTTTTATGATTCCAATAGGTCAAAGCCGTGACAGTTAAATTGTATTAAAACAATCAAACGCTGATTTTTTAACACGCTTGTGATCACCTCCATGTATTACTTTTGGAAGGAAATATATTTGTATTGCATTACGTTTTGAAAATATTACTTTAAATATCAAAATTTTGACGCATTAGAATTACGAGGCTCATCCAGAAAGTAAGTTTCCCTAATTTATTAAAAAAAAAAGAACTCACACTTTCAGGAACATATTTAGTGGCAACAAGTACAGCAATGTTCAAGCTATTTTTCAACATAGCCACCATCTGAATTGAGACACTTGTCGTATCGTGGGATCAACTTTTATATCCCTCTGTTCTAGAACTCTGCCGCCTGTGAATGGAATAAACGTGTGACAGACTTCTTCAGCTCTTCGTCAAAACGTTAACCGGAGGACAGGTATTTCTTGAGCTGCAAGAAAGCGTGAAAATTGCTGGGAGCCATATCGGGGTTATTGGGATGATGATCTAACAACTCCCAGCCGAATTCCGTCAAAACAGCTGCTGTGCGTCATGCCGTATGGGGACAAGCATTGTCACGGAGGAGCGCAACACCTGCAGTAAGCATTCCACGACTCTTGTTTGAATGACAAGTCACGATTTCCGCAGTGTGTCGCAGCAACGGTAAGCGTCTGTCACACGCTGGTTCCATTCACAGGCAGCAGAGTTCTAGAACAGAGGTGTACAAAAGTTGATCCCACGCTACGACAAGTGTCTCAATTCTGGTGGTGGCTATGTTGAAAAATAGCTTGAACATTGCTGTACTTGTTGCCAATATATATGTTCCTGAAAGTATGAGTTCTTTTTTTTTTTTATAAATTAGGGAAACTTACTTTCTGGATGACCCTCGTATTATATAGATACAGGGGTTGGGCAAAGTATGTAAACACTTCATATACTAACTATAAGTAATAAAAATTCTTTTTCAGCTTAAGTTTGGAATGTTTTAAGTGTCATTTCTGAAAGTTTTAAGTGAGATCTTTAAAATTATGCCAACAGTTTGGGAAGGAAAAATCTTCAAAAACAATTGCTCCTAAAAGAAATTAGCACATCTTGAACTGTTTAGGGCTGGACTGGAACGACATTCATTCCTCTCCCATTCTGGTTTCGGATTTTCTTAATGTCAACGGATTTATTGATCTGGTCTGACCCCGTCAGACCAGATGGGAATTAGCAACAACAACAGCAGAAATTTTGTTCAGATAGAGATAGTTTAGATACGCTTCTATATTTTTGTCCAAGTCCTGTATATTTCCTTTATAAATTATTGACAGAGGTGATCACAATGTCATTGAAATGAGGTATGCTTATTTCTTGTATCCATTTTTTTGAAAATTTATAAGACCTGTGGGAACCTTATTTAAATTAAAAACTTAAATTAATCACAGCTTCCTTGAAAATCATTCAATAACAATATTCATATTAAAATTTATTATAATTTTGATGTTTTAGACAGCTAATTAAAAATATGTCATGAATTATTGACTTTGCATAATAAATCCCACAAAACCTTCCTAAAAATTATTATTTAGACATTTTTCAATTAATAGAATGAAGTCATTTTGAATCGATCTTTTAGCATTGAATCATCTCTTAGAAATTGAACTAAAAGTTTTTCTTCTTCCAGAGAAGAGCCTTATTTGTTAAAGTTTGCGGGTAGTGAAAATGTCTAGTAGAGAAAAGGTGGCTCAAAGTATAAGACATTCGCCTCTTAATGAAGTAAACCGATTTCGAGTCTCAGCAATGGTTGGTTGATACGAATTCCGCACCCAACTCACTTCGACCACAGTGCAGACGTAAAATATCCTAAGTGATTGACGAATCATGGGTTAGAATCCCCTTGTTGTGATAACATTGTGATGTTTTCGAGGTCTTCCTCTCCATGTAATACAAGTACAGGTTAGTTCCATAAAAGAGTCCTCTACGAAGGCAAATTTTACCCAGTACTTGATCCAGGAGTTTCCTTGTCTTCTGGATTGGGTACAAAATTACAAGACTACGAAACTGAACATTAGTGGCCGTAATTTAAAAATTTAAGTCTGCTGTTCAATGACAGTTATAAAATAAAATAAAATAAAATAAAATAAAATAAAATAAAATAAAATAAAATAAAATGACTGGTGGGGCGCTTTTGCACTAGATTATGTGATTCGTCACGTCTAATAAATCATAATCAGCTTGAGAAATATGTGTGGATGAAAATTTTAATTTTTACTATCTTGTTTTAGGTTGTTTGTGTACAAATTGGGCTTCTCAGTATTTAGGATCATTTAGCTGGTGTGATTACCAGCAAGGTCGACAAGTGTGTGTGTGCACAGTGGGCTATTCATACAACCCACACACTGAAGCATGTGAAAGTTCGTATATGAAAATCTACTCTATATTATACCTCCATGTTACATCTACACAGTATCTTAACTACTCTAGATTAAAATTTACTTCTATATTATCATTTTTATCCATTAAGGGGAGTCCGCATATATATAGGGCTTTGCATCTGAACAAGATATTGCTTCAGCTTTTTGTCACATATAACTGTTACACTGTATGTGCTTACACTGTGATAACTGTTAATACATATCTTTGGCAGAATTTTTTTTTTTAAATTATGCACACTGAAAACTTTTAATTTTTTAGAAAGTTTTATCATTTTTGAGCAAAAATATTTTATAACAAAAACAAAGATTCCTGTTAACGCTGAAACATTATCACAGCATACAACTGATGTAATCTGCAATATCTCCAAAAATTTTTAAGCGTTATTATAGGAAGTTTCTTAGAAAAGGTACATCGAAAATGGTTAGTTTTAGCATAAATGACGTATGCCCTTCCTTAACCCTTTAATGGGCCCTTAATTTCTAGTAATGGTAAATTAAAGTATTTTTTTGGAATTGAAATTGTTTTAAGAACAGTAATTGATATTAAAAAAAAAAACTCATTTAGTTTATAAAAATGCCATTTTTTTGGTGGTAAATATATTTTACATGACCTATTAGGAACTTACTGACTTTTATTTTTTTTATTTATAAAATAAATTCCTTAAATGTTACAAACTTCAAAAGGAATTATGTATTTAATAACTTTTATACGTTTTTTAAAAGTGACAAATGGTTACCAATTTTATTCAAACTCACTTCAAGGAAGCTGAAGTTATTGAAAAATGGAAACCTAAATTAAAAGTGGTAAAACGTGGCGGTAAGTATACTTACCACGGCCTTCAAAAGGGTTAAATCTGCTCTATATTCGAGCTCCTCTACATTAAAATCTACTTCATATTATCATCTTTTTTATATTGAATTTACTCTATTATTAAATCTACTATATATTTAAATCTCTCAATATTAAACCAACTCTACATTTAAATCTACTCTATATTATCAGGATTTCCACAGATTTTTAAAAATATTAATTTAGGAAGTAATGGTCAAAATTACTTAAACTTATTTGTGCAAAAGTGAAACAGATGAAAAAAATTTTGCTTACCACATCTAATATAGAAATAAAATATAAGCCTTCTAGCCTTTGGTACTCCGATGTCGCCCATGAGACGACATCAACATTCAGCATTCTAAAATAAAACATTTTTTCACTTTATTAATTAATAACCAGATTATTTTAAGTAATTTTAAAAATTATGTAAAAATACTGTTGTCGTTCCTAACCGGATTGACTGT